CCTTCCCCCGTTTAGTGCCAGCCCACCCCTCCCCATCGAGCCCCCTTACGTTTACATTTAAAAGAGCCCCTCGCACAGCGTTGCCATATTTTTGGAATTCTTCCTCGCCCTTACGTGCGAGCACGAAAGAACCTTTCTTTAACCCTGCTAATTAATTATCCGAGTCTTCTCGGTTAATTATCAACGAGCTACCAGCAAGAGGAGTGTGAACATTTAACACGACCGTAACGAGACGTCTCCTTGGTCTTTAGTCGCTGAGGTTGTCTGCCAGCACCTCTCGTACCTTTCCCATCGTTCGGAAAGTCCTCGGCCGAGAGTGGGTAGCACGCGAACCAGCGGCGTCGGGACGCCTCGCGTCCCACCGCACTCCGCCGCGGCGATACCGGCTGACGCATCGCTACTGAAATAGACGAGGATTCTTGGGGCGTGCGTCGCCAACCGCGGCGCTTGCCCATTCGTGGAAGGAGGAACGAGCCCTGGGACAGGCACCGGAAACGGAAGTGCTCCCAGCAATTGAATTTCTCCCATTTACGATACGGCATCGTTGCAATCTGCCGCCCGTTTTACCGGACAATTCCTCTGCCTATCGCTTCACCCTCTCTTAAGCTAGTATAATACGATTCTTAGCATGGTAACCATGACGGCTCCCAGCATCTTCCTCCTCTGATTCGGCCCTGCTTTCATCTTAAGCCCGACCGCCATTCCGGTTATACGTTGTATCCATCTCTAAATAGAACTGCTCCTGTTATGTTTCTCTCTAGTGTACAGGACGGATGCATTCCCTGAGCTTGCTGTACGCACAGGACGTCCACGTGGACGTGCATGCAGGTCACTCAGAACGACGACTTCGAATTGGCTGACTACGATAGAAGCTTTTGCCAGTGCTGTAATTTCAGCCATCGGTATCTCTGTTGGTCTCACTGAGATCCTACGCGTCCATTATGACTGATCCCCGTCATCGGGGATTCAGCCGAACGAAGTTGTCCCTATGTTTACTCAAAAGAATCCATATCTCCCCAATACCCCAACACCATTGTCACTTGTAGAATATTGCAGCGTGAACGCGTATTATAAAAATCAATGTTTCCGTTGCTTGCAGTCCCGGCGAAGCTGGTGTGGGCTTTGGAGGGCGATGACGTCGAGCTGCCCTGTGACATCACACCGCCAATTCCAGCCGATAAGGTTAGCATGGTGCTCTGGTTCAAAGACACCGCTGGGATTCCCTTTTACAGGTAAAGCCAGCCAGTTCACTATTATATACAGACACTCCGTTCTACTTGACTCTTGCCGTTATGGCTGCTACTCGGGCACTCTGGCACTTCGGCACTTCCGCCGGAACCAGACTCAATATTTAAAGACGCGCAGCAGCCATTTCGCTGCGCCACAAAATCTCAGGATACCGTTTAAGTAATGTACATCGTGCACTCGGATATTACGGGGGACCTCTTCACCGCCGGTGCTTTTTTCTATCCCCGGCGACGCTCGACGTCGAGACGCCTCTCCCTCCTAGCACAACTACCGATACGTTTGCGAAGAATTTCCAGGATCGTTTTGCGCCCCTTAAGTGGCCACGACCCTCCTTCCCTTTCGAAGGGGGGCAAATTTTCTTGAAGTTTTTCTCCTGAAAACACTTGTCTTTTACACACATGTATATGTACATACTGAAAGACCTGTCCAAATATTTGAGTAGCCTAAATCCATATATTTATTATTATTGGAGATATTGGAAAAATCGGCAACGCGTCACTGGTCATGCCGCTAGGATAAATTATCAAATGATAGCGAATGTCACGCGAGCTCCGCCGTCTCTCCCGTCCGACATTTAATCTGCAGAGACACATTTAAAAGGATTACGCGATTTGCATTGGTGCCGGTATGGAGGTATGGAGGTATGGAAGTACATAAGCACGCGCGATTGTATAATACTTTTATAAATATTTTTCTCTTCTCCCTTCGCCATCGAGTCGAGATGTGTTTCGAACGATAACACAAATATATGTCCGTGTTATCAAATGGAAAAAGTTTGTATCGGTTATGTTTCTGTTCGTTTCGCCAACATCACGTTTCACGGCAGGCAGAGCCGACGCAGCGCCGCGACCACTGAAATATTGCCGTACAAAATATGTATTTTCCCTCTCGATTTCCAACGCTCATACGTGCCCCCCTGCCCCCTCAATCGACCGTTCATTTTCCTCCTAGAATCCGGAAGCCGGACGCTTGGCCCGCACTCTTTATGCTCTTCGCGGTTATCATCCGTTTTTCAGCCGTTCACTATTTGCCCTTTGACTTTTTAGCGAAATCCATTGAATTGCGCGCGACACTCGTACCTGCAATTACGAAAGCACCACTATTTCCCTTATAATTATTTTGACTGGTAACGAGTACCCAGTAACACTTCGGAACACACTCCTCTTTTTATTTCGACATTCACTAATATTTTTGATCCGTGATCTACCGTTTGCTGATGGCCTCCTCAGCTTGGCCAGAGATGCGAATAAAATATATTAATCTCTCGACATTGCGCGTAAATTTATTTAATAGGCAGTCATTAGCGATGCCGCTTAATACTCGTTGAGCGTGCGCCACATGAATTTGTGAGTTATGAGTCGTAATTCCACGAGGCGTCACAGGAGCATTAAGGGATTCAGTAGGTTACGAGGTGGTTCAAGGCTGGATTTGCAGATGGGTAAGGTAACGTGGAATTTTTATTCGCACGACGATCTCTTCGGTTACGTCAACTCACTGTCTATTGCAGTGTTGCCGAAAGAGAGTTTGGCAACTGGAGGGAGAAGGGTTCAGTTGCAAAGTCCACATAATTTATGGGGGTTTCTTCGATATCGTGAGATAGGGATGGAGGGAAGGGGTTGGGCTCAAAAAAAAAGAGAATAACCGAAGAAGGTTTGGGGGGACGTAGGCAGCATCTGTGTACCAACGTAAGGATACGTTGGGTCGGAGAAGGCGGAAGTGGGGAAAGCGCGTTAAAGATCAGCCGAAGCTTCGTAACCGCGCAGTTGGTGTAAGAAATGTAAATCCGAATGGCTCGGGACTAGGAAGTTAGAGAGAGAGAGAGAGAGAGAGAGAGAGAGGAGGGAGAGGAGGGTAGTTAAGGAGCAAGGCAAGATGGCTGCCCGCTCGGATAAACCAGGAAGGAGGTGCTACCCGAGTATGAAAATATAAAAACTCATTAGGCGATAAGGGGGACGTATCCGCGTGGAACTTGGCGGGAAAAAGGAGAATTTTCGAATCCAGGACGCCTGACGCTGACGAGACGTACACTGTATATGCAAATAAATAGTTCGCTAGAAATCCGCTTAGCCAGGAGCGGCTCACTCATTCGGCGCCACAGTCGTCTCTGCCGGACGTTCGCGTCGTCCCAGACTTTCTGCGCTTTGGAGGAACTTTTTTTCACTCTTGAAACCGCTTCTTTTCCTTCTCCTTGACAATTTAATTCTCGCGGGTACACGCAAGCCGTCGTACCCGGACACTCGCCGCTGCAGGCGTCCTGAGTCGACTCCAGCCTGGCCAATTTGAAAAGCAAACGAGCCAAACGCTCGGCGCACCAGCCTAACGGAGGGAATGATTTTTCGTTCAAACTTTTAAAAGCAGCTTCGCGCAGCTTAGAAATCTCTCCGAGGAAGTTCTCTCTATTGCGCAAGCACATCCTATGGTCACTCTAAGGAATTCTAGCTCCAGCCAGCTCTAACCTAATATTGAGTCTCCTCGCTGTGTCCTAATGGTCTGCCAATCCTGTGCCAACAGCAAAGAGCCCTTCGTTAGGGCAATCGGCTTATCATTAGCGAACATGAAGTTCCCGTGATACGTTCCTCCCTATACCTATAGAGCGAGTAAACTACGTATCGACGTTGCCGTTTGGCAACTTCGTTTGCTGTCTCAATAGAATTATAAATTATTAGGAAATTGCTAGATAACTGTTTGATATACCAAAGATTCGAGTCCTTGCGTAATTGAATACTTCAGTACTTTAGACCGGAGTAAGTGAATCTCTGCACTATACGAGGCGACGCGTAACGACGCCGTAACGCTTAGACGTCGTTTAATCTCCCGAAGGTTTTAAAGGCGCTGCGAGCCATTCGGAATTAATATGCCCGCCCAGGTGCGTTAACCAGTGATAATAGCCCAGTTCCTCGAGGTTAACGAGTAATCAACTCTGCACCGGGAAGAATGTAATTGGTCCGATGAAAATGACCGGCTGAACGGTTGGGTTACTCCATCCATTACTATTTTATATTGACGTTGGCTACGCAGGCAGCGCGTTGCATTCTGTTACGTAACGAGTGACGTAGACGACAGCGTCCCTCTCTCCAATCGTTGTCTGGTACAGTCAACCGGTAGAGGACGCTCCGCTAAGCCAGACTTTCTATATCTTTTCTTTTAATCCTTATTTACGTAAAACGTAGTCAAATCTCCGAAATTACATTCTCCATACATTCATATCAATTAGAACGAACCGTTATTATAGATCAAAATCGAGTCTGTTTAGGTTGAACGTTAGACGGTCTTACCTCATGTTACAAAGAGAGTAGTGTTATGACGTAACGTACAGTATTTCAATGACTACAGTCGCGAGCACTTTTCCCAGGATTGTATCCACAATACACATACCTAACCTAACCTACCTAACCTACGGTAAGCTGCAGTGAAGCTGCAGTGAAGCTGCTCTGACGGAGCGAACTCTTTGAACGCTCCATTGCGAATGCGAATATACGTAGGTCGCTGTGTGACGGAAGAAGTCAAAAGCGACGAGGATGGTGCAGGCGCGGGTAGCGTGCGCCAGGGCGGGTAGGTTTAGGTACCCTTGGAAATCTCTCGTAGCTATAGATATACCTCGTGTAATGGATGTAGAACGAAGACGATCGGAAGGCGAAGTTGCCTTTATGGATTTGATTATCGGCTTGCGCTGCTCACGCAGCAGTTCTCCTGACCTGGGTCAATAGCAGCAGCCCTTTGAATCGTTTAAAGTTAGAGGGTGAAGCTGATAGATAGGGGCAGTAGTATACCTATAGTCGGTAAACAGTCGAGAGGGAGAGAGAAAGGCTGCTGAGCGTAGACGGCGGCCTCGTAACCTGCAGGAGCTGCAGGAGCTGCAGGTGCAGCTATAGCTATACTGTTGCACGCGTTGCTTTGATATGGGAAACAGGTTGAATCGGTCGTTCTCAAAGATTCGAACGCGCTGCGACTTCGTTGCTAGTTGGCCGCCTTTAGTCGTTTGAAAAATTATTGGTTTGACACGCAAGTCGCGCGCGATCCTGCCGTTTCCTCGGTGCGTTGCGTAACCAGTTGGCAACCGCGAATTCCCGGAGCTAAATTCACTACGGAAATTGCACTGCCAACTGCACTTATGGAGGCCGCGAATAGATCGCGTGGGCGCATTGCGCAAACGCACGTTGCTTCACGCCTTGAACGTGGGCACCCCGGAAGTTGCGTCTTGGGAGATGTCTTACGTCACGGCCTAGCAAATCTTCTTCCGGTTGGACAGGGATGCTCTAAGGGATATCATCTTGGCTGCCAGTTTTCGACGAGCACATCGTTTGTTATTTCTCGTCTCTATTGTTTCGAATTTCGTACGTTGGATGGGAACTACCGGATGTTCTCCATGTTGGGCCATTATCCGTTTTCCAGGATTTTTTTTTTTTTTTTTTTTTTTTTTTTTTTTTTTTGATTTTT